TAAACTTATATTAAAGTTTTTCTTCATTGTACCTGATGATGACAAAACCTTGTCGAAACGTTGTACGTTTGCTGTCATGTTAAACTTATATTAAAGTTTTTCTTCATTGTACCTGATGATGACAAAACCTTGTCGAAACGTTGTACGTTTGCTGTCATGTTAAAGTTATATTAAAGTTTTTCTTCATTACCCATTTAAGCCGTCTCCAGCCATTATTAGTCTCAAAGTGGGTTCCTCGTCATCGAATTTAAAGATATAGTGTTTACTTGACTTCAGAGGCAGGCATGTCCTACAAGGAACTCTAAAATACCCAAATTTGATTGTTCACAGTTCGAAGATGATGTGTACTTTTTTTGAACCAGCGCGACACTCAGAATGACACTCACCTGTATTAGTCGGGTATTGCCTGTGTCGCGCAAGTGCAAGAGTAGTAAGATGTTTACATACCTGAATGTGTTCAGGATGTTACAACAGTTAATCATAACACTTTCGATGAGTTTGACAATGACAGAAGATGGGCTGCTAATAACCTGTTTTATTTCAAAAACATATACTTTGAAGAGTTATGCGAATATAAAAAAAAATGCAGCTATAAGTGATAAATTTCTAAATAAATAAAAAAACGGTGAAAATCGCAGAAAAGGAATAAATGTATATCACACTGGAAATATTTAATATTTTAAAAAGTTCGTTGATCCGTCATTACAAAATATGATTACATCTAATCCATAATTACCATAAGGAGAAAGGATGATTGGATTTGTAGCTAGGTTTTAGAACCTGCCACAACGAAAACATTGCTTCGAAGTCAATGCCCCACGGATGTGGTTAAACCAAAAGTACGTTGCGTAATTGGGCAACAGTTGCCTATCTGTACTTTGCAGAAATGGCCTTGAAGCTTCAACAATTGTTTTGTATGTTTATATCTCGTAGTTTACGTAAGAGCTGAATGTAGGTCAAATTGTTGTTTTCATATTGTTGATTTTATTTTTTTAAAAATCTTTTTTTTCGTACAACAAAAAACTTGTTGTACAGTTGGTGTGTTGTCTGCTCAACTGTAACAAATGGAATCCAAATGATATAACGGTTTAGTTTACTTCATTTAGTTAGTATCAAGTTGATAAAATATAACAACATAAAACAATGCAGAAGGCCTAAAGGTAAAAGAGGGGAAAGGAGAACGCGTGTATTTCTATTTGTGGCGCCGTCATGTCTACTGTGTTGTTATACCTACAGGATACAAAGAACAACTCAAGTTCTTGGACTTCTTTTCAAATGAGTATTGCCAACTGTTGTTTGTGAAACTGGCAAAGTTCCTACATTTAGTTTACGTCATAAATCCTTTTCCTTCTTTTTACTGTTTTTTTTTTCTTCTTCCAGGAAGTACTTTTCTTTTATTATGATTTTTTTTTGTAAAAGATTTATTTTAGGTTGAAATGATGAAACTAATTTTAATTTCATAAAATCTTTTCCTTTTTAAAATGTATATAAAGAATCAGTTGTTTTTATAATAGATAAATAGAATAAATAAGATTTTATTTTGTTTCAGTATTGCAATGGAGGCGATTTGGCAGATTATTTAAATGGTAAGGAAAACCGAAATAGCTGATCCTCTAACTTGTGTGTGTGTGAGAGAGAAAGAGAATTGGTTTACATTAATGCACTAATAAATGTATATATGAATTATTCCGTGGATGTATTACTCCCAAACTATTGTATAACTATTTATATCTTAGCACAATAATAATTCAAATGAACACTTAAAATGTTAACTTTAATACAAATATGATGAATTTAAAACCTTAAAGTATAAGGTATGTCAGCTGTAATGTAAGTGTATAAAGGTATTTTAGTTATTGTATATACAGCTGTAATGTAAGTGTATAAAGGTATTTTAGTTATTGTATATACAGATGTTCATTAGGTAATGTAAGTGTATACAGGTATTTTAGTTATTGTATATACAGCTGTTCATTAGGTAATGTAAGTGTATACAGGTAGTTTAGTTATTGTATATACAGCTGTAATGTAAGTGTATAAAGGTATTTTAGTTATTGTATATACAGATGTTCATTAGGTAATGTAAGTGTATACAGGTATTTTAGTTATTGTATATACAGCTGTTCTAAATGTAATAGCAGACATTTTACTAGTTTAATTATCAAAGTTACTCAAACTGGGGAATAAAAGATGCATAAAAAAAATAGTTTTTTAATGAAATATAAGAAGCGGCAAGACCTGTTAACTTTTTTTTAGATGTATTCTGTAGGGAATATTATATGCCATTACTGATATGAAAAGGAATGAAGATCTATACGATAACACTTTAAAAACTAAGGAATGAAAATAGACAATCGTATAACATGATCACTTTTCCCAATTCAAAAGTATATATGAATAATACTTCTGTACAGATTAACCAAAGAGATGGAGTGGACCATTAGCCAAGATATATTTATAGTTCTTTATGCAGCAAATATTTACTCACAGACAACTTCTTATGTTTTTATGGGTCCAAGTGTGGCCCTGTGGTTAGCCCTGAGGAATAAAGTTTCGGTGGGTAAAGTCCTGTTACTGCAAAAGAAATTAGGTAGCAAGTGCAGATAGCCCTTGTGTCTAACTTTGCACGAAATCCAACAAAAGAATCTAACAACTTTTGTTGTTGATATTCATGGTCCCAAGTGTCTACAGTTATATAATGTTACATTTTATTATGAGACACTCTTATTAAAGAATCGTATATAATAATATGCACATACAGCATAATATGACACTTACTATTGTCTAATATTTTTGTACCTGTGTTTTCTGAATCATCATGAGTTGTCTGAATTCATACAAAACACTACTTACTCTATGTCTAACTCTAACTTTCTATAAACTTGTGATACTAGAGAAGTTTATTTGCCCATTAATAATTATAAATCAGGGGTAAAATGACCCAATAACCCATGTCTTTCAAAAAACAGACCTTCCTGCTTAAGACTTAAAGTGAATATTTTTTGATTTACGTGTAATAGAAACAGGTTAATTTAAATATTTATATGTATACATATATACATTTGGTGTGTGTGTAAATTTGATATAGTCTAGCCACAAAGTCAATTACATATGATAGTTACACTGTGTTTGTTATACTTGTGGAATGTTGTGGCACAAACATGGAATAGGTTTTCTTGTATTAAACTCTGATTCATTCTATTTCAAGGAAGGTTTATAATGTTAAAGTCATTGTAACAATTTTCAGTTCAAACTTTGAATGTTGTTATTTTTCAATAATTCCTAGAAACAAAGCTGCCTATGTTTGTTTTTATTATGCTGATTGTGTGTCAATAATTTTTTCACCAAACTAGTGATTAGATTTTACTTATAAAGAAACATAATTGGCCTTGTTTTTCATGTTAATCAACTTTTGATTTATGTGACCAGCAAGAAAAAAAAATAGTTATCATTTAAAAATGTGTAAAAAAATTTGATTCCATAAATTTGGTTTCCTCTATACAGAACTAATGACAAAATAGAGAGAGATCAAAATCAGCTGTTAAAGAAATATGATAAATTAACCACATTACAAAACATAAAAACATATTTAATTCTCAGGCAGTTCTGGGTTCCAAAATTCCATCACCAATGATCTGCAACACACACATCAAAAGTATGTAATGTATTACACAAAACAAGCAAATTGTACTGTATTGATACATATTGAAGAACTAAATAATACATAGAAAAGAATGGAGGATCTTTACAAAGATCTGCAGTGAAAATTCTTACATTTAAAGCAAAGAAAACTGAAGTTTAACACTAAACTCTAAATAGCAAGAGCAAAAGAAATATTAAATATGGAATTTGTAAATTCCAAAGCTGTCTGTTTATTAAATATACTTTTATGCTTTGCCTTGGTATTCTTCTTTTTAATTAAACTTTGCTTTCAGTCAGATGAATGTCTAACATTATGAACAAAACAGCTTTAAGTTTTAACATCTTACAAGAGAAAGCCAATGTGTGGAGACTAATGCTTATTGTTTTTAATCATTTACTTCAATCATATGTACAATAGATTTATTGAAATACCTTTGTTTCTCATTTGTTTTGCTTGTTATTTCAGCAAAAGGAAAACTTGGTGAAGACATAATCTACTTGTTCTTGCGTCAGATAGGTGAGTCATGTAGTGAAGTAATCTTGCAGTCTGTGAGCTGTTGCAATGACAGTTAATCATGCTGGCAAAAAAAATCCACTTAACCTAAATGTCATGAAATTATTAAAATTTTTTGTAACAAAAGATTTTATGTTCTTAAGCTTAAGAATATCTTGAATATATAGTAACATTTTAACATTAAGTAAACTTTAGGACATTTTTCCACTTGTAGAAATAAATTATTATTTGAGCCTTACAAAGAAAATAAATTTGTTTATTTGTAGAAATGTCCTAGAGAGTTTTTCGATTTTAAAAAGCCTTAATATTTAGTTTAGCAATTCATTTATAAGTCAAATACATATTTTGCATTTCAAATATTAATGTTTAAAACATGGCTGTAGGCTATAGTGAAAATTTACCCAAAGTCCAAACACTGACAAGCACATAGGATCACCCTTACATATTGTATACCTTTTCCATTTGGGTGTAAAATTAAATAATACCTTAAATTTTATTTCAAATTTTAACTGAGGTCTGGATCCCAGTAACCTCATAGCTAGCTACAGTCATAGCTTGAGATTTCTTTCTCAATGGAAGTATGTATTTAGAATAAAGTAGTTCCTAAAATTTATATTTTACACTGCACACATTAAAGATGGCTTTTATGTGCAATGCTAACTGATCCAACCAAGATTAGCCAGTCCCAATTTCTATAGAACCAGTTACATCTGGATGGTAAAATTATGAATATATTTTCGTTAAGTATTATCAAAGGAATGAAAATAAGGCTGAGAAAAATATTGTTCTTCTGAGGGGTTGTAGGAAATATCTTGAGATGATCTGTTGTAACATCAGGCATCCTTTTGAGGTCACTGATCATATTACATAGATGAGCTTAAAGTGCTGGAGAATAGAGAATGTTGAAAAGGATCTTAAGTTGTTCAATAACTTCAATAAACTTTTGTCTATAGCTTAAAAAAAGAAAAATTTTGTCATTTGAAAAATATTTGATTTTGGGTGTTTTAAATTTATATTTTTGTTTTAGATTAATTAGTCTAGTATCAAATTTGTGTTTTTGACCACAGACCTTAGTGAATGTCGCCCAGCCAGCCCACAAAAATATAAAAGTTGAACTAATAGACCAAAGAAGTTCATTATAGCTCAAGACTTTTACAAAAATCCAACCTATGTGGGCTAGAAACTAAATAATTAAATTCAACTTTTCTAAAATAATTTTTAAAGAATTAAAATTTCTTTTAAAAATACAGCAACATAGTAAACAAGATAGACTTACACTTCTCTATAACTTGAATTTTTGAATTAATACACTTTTTTAAAGATCAAACACAAATCAAAATACTTCTTATGGTTTTGAGACTTAAATTATCTCTTATAGCATAAATGAAAGGTAAGAGTGCATGAAGTAGACATACCAACTTTAACTATTGTACTTAGATTATTATCTGAAGCTTAATTTAATAATTGTTAGCAGTGTATCTTCCAACTTTCTACTCTCAATAGCTGCAGCCATGAAAGCTCTGAATGCTAAAGGAATTGTACACCGTGATTTGAAACCTCAGAACATCCTTCTATGTTACACTGAGAGACCCAACCCACCCCCAAATGAAATTCAGTTGAAAATAGCAGATTTTGGGTTTTCACGATTTTTACAAGATGGTATAATGGCTGTAACTTTGTGTGGATCTCCTATGTACATGGTAAGCTGATTAGATCAGAAAATGATGAAGGCTACTACCTTAATAACAGAAATGTATAGCCTAGTAACAGAAGGAATGAAGCATAGTATTACAGAAAATATATCCCACTGTAAAAATCTTTTTGTAAGCAAATGACAGCATAGTGAAGAAAACTTTATTTTTTATCTAATTAAATGTTTTTACTCATAATTTAGGCTCCAGAAGTGATTATGTCTCTACAATATGATGCTAAAGCTGATTTATGGAGCATAGGCACAATAGTATACCAGTGTTTAACTGGAAAAGTACCATTTCAGGTGAGAAAACATCTGTCATGTGTTTACTTTATGACAAATGCTTATGAAAGAAGTATTTTGACTATAAAAAAAAACATTGGCATATCTAGTTATTTTAAAACTTGTCCTTGAACACTTAAGTTATAATCACACATACTTCCATTTCAGTGTTTGTTATCAGAATACTGTATAAGATAAAGTACAGCATAAATTATGTTTTGTTATTAAAGATTTTGAAATTTCAGGTTACTTGTAATTGATAAAGTAGAAAATTGACAAAAGCCTTTGCCAACTTAATAACATGAAAAAAAAACTGTCTAAATCATGGATACAATTCAGTATTAAAGTATCCGAGATTTGATATTCGTATGTTTGATATGAAAACTTTTATTGATTATTAAGGAATTATCAACAAAAAAAGATATTTTGTTTGTTTTGTTAAAGTGGATAAGGACCATTAGAATGTAATCTGAATTGTCATGTCCTTTGATAGTGTAGCTTATGTCAATTAACTTGTACAAAAATTTAATCATACGTTAATAAGAATAATGTTCTTAATTCTGTACTACCATTGGAACTGTTTACTCCTTTGTCTACCAGTTTCATTCTGATGTTCTTTATTACTCACTGTGACCCAACATTGCTTATGTAAAGAACAGCAAGTTCTATCTGAAGCCACACATCTTGACAAACATTCCACAGGTCCTTTATTGTATATATGCATTGACTCCTAAGACCATGTTTAAGTGAACCAAATGTACAGAAGTTCGTAGGTGCATAATCAGGTGACTTCACAAATATATCAGAGAAGGCAATTTTGAGAGTGCAATGGTTATTGGTGGACTTCTGATTTATTTTAAAAAAGCCTTGTGTAATTTTTACTGTTAGCTACCAATACATACATATCAGTAGTAATCTGCTGTTTTGTACTACCATTTTAGTTTTAGGAAAAATTATTTTTTATTTTTAACTTAAGAAATAATAACCTTGTTAAGTAGGGGACATGAACAAATTAACAGATGGTAAAATAATGTGGGTGCACTTCAATGCTCAGGTCAGTGGGTGAAGTATCAGTGATAGGCTGCAAAAACATCAGTGACTCAAGATAATCAGAATCACAGAAAACAGGATGAGAGTCAATGCTAGTGAAATGGATAATGTACCAAATCTAAAATTAAATTTGTATGTGGCATTAACTAGGGGGCAACAACATTTCAGAGATTGCTTCCTTCAGCACTGGTTCTGAAATAGCTATGAAAAATATGGCCCTTGTTCTGTTTCAACAAAAGAATAAGGTCTACCATTTTGTTGAACTAAAAATGATAGCAGAGTGAGATTTAAAAAAGTGGATTTAACCATTTTTGTACTACAGTTGAAGCATAAGACCAGGAAAATGACTGGAATTTGCATTATGTACAATTAAAAGAAGTACAGCATTAAAATAATTGCACAATAAATAATTTACTAAAAACAGGGAACATCCCTAAAAAGACTACATGTTTCAGTGTTCTTATGCTTCTGTCTTCAGGAGTAAAAGTTGAAGTTTAAACAAGACTTATATTACAATACAATCATTTGCATTCCTTTGGTACCATCTAGACTTAAACACTCAGAGTTTATAAAACATATATCCAGTTCTTTATTTATTCTAAACCTAAACCAACTGCTGCATTCAGCACATTACTCCAGTCTGTAGCATGAAATGTTATTCTAGACTGGAACAATGTTAAACTGATAAATCAGATGGAATTGAAATGTGAATTAAATATCAGAGAAACAATACAAATTGAAAAAAACAAAGATATTGTCCTGATGTAGTCTTTGCACCCTGGTCATACAATTGAGGAATTTCATATCACACTATTTGTGTCAGTATTTTCTCCTGATAATAACTAGACTTCACCTATACTGTACTTAGACCTCATCCCAAACTTCAACAAGCTTCCTTCTTTTGTGTGCAAAGTTTTTGTTTTTTTTACCTGCAGTTTGTCTTTCTCTCACTAGTATTTCTGGGAAGAAACTTGTATACTTTTGGTTTATGCTTCTGTGCAAGAACCAAACTTTTGTTAATTATATTGTGCACAGTTGTTTGGGATATATGTAACTTGAATTAGCAACCCTTTTCTGTGTCAGTTGGGGTTTCTGAATAACCAGTCTTTGGATTTTGGCAGTGGTAGCAATAGTGCTACATATGGTAGGATGATGTTTAGGTAGTTTTACATCTTACACTGGTCATCTTTGGCTGATACTGCTTACTGTGTTATAGACAGTCTTCTCTGAAATTGTTGTGACACATTCCTCTAGCCAAAAGTACCAGTGGCAGCATTGCACTGTTAAATGGTCGAGGTGAACCAAATATATAGGTGCTAAACATGTATGCAGTGATGAGGGTTACATCTAACCTGGTGACAGATCACTCTATAACCATATAAAAATTGCTCTTATAAAGTGTGATTAACCCAATGTATAGTCAGCCAAATAACATAATTATCCATTTTATAGAAATGGAATTTATGAAATATTTTTCCTTCAATTACTGCAACATCATATGTAACAACTATTCTTTACAGTATAAAAGGAAAATGTGTGTATGTGCATGAATTTATACTCATATAAGTGTGCAAAATAGAATTATTTATTGTTGATTAATATTTTATATTTGCAGGCCCAGACTCCACAAGCCTTAAAACAGTTCTATGAAAAGAACAACTTTTTGTTTCCAAAGTATGCATTTTTATTTTGTTATATTTTACACATGCTTTCATTTATTAAGAGAAACAAAATAATGACTACATTTTAATGTTAAAGGTTATTTTCAACTCATCAGTGTCAACCTTTGTTATTTGGAGCAACTGTCATAGCAAAATAGAACATTTAATTTTTTTATATGGCCAGAATAGTACAAGGCCACAAGTAGGTACTTGTCTAGTCTGTACTCGAGGCTGGCAGTGTGACTAACTTTGTGTTTACTTTTTTGAATATTAATCAGAAATGTAAAAGAAATTCTGATACGGTACATTACCTCCACTCACGTATATAGCTATTCTTGTTCTCTATGCAAAAATGTTTTCACATGCCACAAGCCTTACACTCCAATGTACCCCATGATTATGGTGGTTCAACTGTGTCTCGCATGAAAATCATCATGCAACAACCCTACACCAACAGGAGTGCGACACACCTTACCGACACATGTGACTTCCTCTATTTGATTCTACCAAACTCTTACTTCTTGTCAGACAGTGCTATAGTCAAGACAAGTTTCGTTTGTTCTCTCATCACACGTTTTTTCTCATTAATATTATCATATGAAGTGGAAAGATCATTCATATATTTTACTACTGTTTAATTTCTTAAAGTTTTCAGTGATAACTTACCTTGTATATTATTTTTTTCATTTGAATTATTTTCAAATTTTCATCATTTTATGATGATACCAGAGTTAATGTTAACACTTCATATATTCTACAACCTGCTGTCAGCACAATTACACAGACTTCAGGTCAGGGGAACTCGACTGAGGATTTTTTGGCCTTAATTCGTAGGGAGTTTGAACATTATGTGAGTCAATCTACTTCTCCCGATAGGGCTTAACTTCCTCCTGAACCTGCCGAACCTGTTTGTGACAACAAGGATTTTGACAGCCTTTTTCCTTCTCCTCATTACATCGTGCCTTCCCACACCCCTCCAACAAAATCTGCTAGGCCTAATTCAGTCTTTTAAGACATAATTTCTCAGGTTTGTTCTGTTTTATCCATTTCAAGTCCAACAAGGATTTTGAAAGCATTTTTCTTCCTCCTGATTACACTGTGCCTTTCCACACCCCTCCAACAAAATCTGCTAGGCCTAATTCAGTCTTTTAAGACATAATTTCTCAGGTTTATTCTGTTTTATCCATTTCAAATCCAACAAGGATTTTGAAAGCATTTTTCTTCCTCCTGATTACACTGTGCCTTTCCACACCCCTCCAACAAAATCTGCCAGGCCTAATTCAGTCTTTTAAGACATGATTTCTCAGGTTTGTTCTGTTTTATCCATTTCCCCGATTTCTTATAATCCTGTTCTTTCCTTATTACAAGACATCCCTTCCTCCCAGTATTTTGTTTTCCCTCCTCCTGATGTTGGGATTCATGCTGAGCATTTTGTTTCATAGTTGTGAGCTGGTACTAGCATGCCTCACCTCTCCAAGGGCCACAGATCAGTTTGCTTTGGCTTACCATCAGACAGATTACTCCTTTCTTGATTCTCATCAGTTAGAATCACTAGTGCCAGTATGGGGAGCTGACACCAAAATTCCTGTCCATTTATCCCAAGTCCAGTGTTCCCACCTTTGTCTTACCCTTATGACTCTCCTGCAGTACTTATCCACTATGCACCTTCTTTCTGAGGTACTCCACAGATCTCCAGAGGGATTTTTGGAGGATACCAACTTCTTCCTTACCTCTCTGTTGGCACAATTATCCTCCTCAGTGCTATCTCTTCACACGTGGTTTCTTTGCTGTTGGGATCTTTGGGCAAAGGGTGCTGTTTTGTCCCAGATTCATTTACTGTTCACTTAACTTCAGGACTTGCAAATGGCTCCTTTACTCCAATAGTCCATTTTGGGGAAATATTCCTAAAACTTTGGAATCTGGAATGTGTAAAAATCTGTGAGACAACATTCAACCCTTTCATCTTTGGTTGCTTGTTTGTGTCACCCTGGGCCCTTGTGATCCCCTGTTCATTTTTCATGTCTGAGACCCTCCCATCCTTTAACTTTTCCTCCCACTAGGGTTTCCACAGTTCAGTTCATTGTGTTTATCAACACAGGTTTCATTGTCTCCAGCAGTACTGGTGACTATATTGTGGGTTCCAGTCCAGTGGGGGCTCGTTTGACTGATTTTATTCTCCTCTAGCAGGAATTCACTACTGATCATTGAGTTCTTCAGGTCTTGTCATTCAATTCCTTTCCTTTACCTCGGGATCCTCCTACCAGTCAGAGGTGGTACAGACTCTTCTATAACAGAGAGCTATTGAGCCTGTCAGCCATCTGCCCCCAGGCTTTTACTCCAGGCTGTTTGTGAAAACTGGAGACTGGTGTCCTGTGATCGATCTGTCCCACCTCAATCAATTCCTGGATCTTCCCCATTTTATAATGGAGTCCTTTCTCACACTAAGATGGGCTTTCTCTCTGGGATTGTGGATGACCAAGATAGATGTCTCAAATGCCTATCTACACATTCCTATTTCTCCTCGGGGCAGACACTATCTTCAGTTGGCCCATCATGAGGTTGTGTATCAGTTTTGCAACACGACCTTTAAGGCTTGCTTTGGCTCCATATGCAGCCCCGGCATGGCCAGGTAATTAAGGCACTCAACTCACAATCTGAAGGTTGCAGGTTCGTATCCCCATCCTACCAAATATGCTTGCTCTTTCATCCATGGGGGCATTCTAATGTAATGGTCAATCCCACTATTTGTTGGTAAAAAAGTAGCCCAAGAGTTGGCGGTGGGTGGTGATGACTAGCTGCTTTCCCTCTAGTCTTACACTGGTACTGCAGATAGCCCTCGTGTAGCTTTGCACAAAATTCTAAACAAACAAACAAACTTGGCTCCATATGTCTTTTTTCGGGTTGTCAAAACTTTTGCCTGGCTTATGCATGCTTGAGGTTTGCACCAACACTACAACATGGATGACTGGCTTCTATTGGCTCATTCAGATATGGAGTCTTCACATCACAATTGTCTCCTTCTGTCAAAGCTGCTCATGTGAGTGGGATTTTCAAGTTGGAGAAGTCTTTCCTGTCCCATATCCAATATCTTGTCCACTTGTGGGTCTTTTTCAACTTCCATCTCAGTCAGACCCAACTTTCTCCTGTTCGATTCCATTTGATGCAGCTTTCAGTTCTCCACACCCTTGCTGTTCTCTCTCTCTCTCTTTCTGCTCATGAGGTTCTATTACTTTTGTGGATGTTTGCTTCTATGAAAGCATTTATTCTCTTGGGTTGGAAACATATGTGGTCTCTTCAATGTACTCTGCATGAGCAATCTTGTTCAGGATCCTTTGGATTCTCCCATTACCCTTCCTCCTTCCCTCATCGACAATCTGCGTTGGTAGTTGAACAAGGCTCACACACTGTTTTCCTCACTTGGCTGTTCAATCATGGAAATTTGGTCATTTCCATCACTGGATATTGAGCAGCCTTATCCCACACCTTTCATTTTTCCCAGTACTATTTTGTGTTTGCCTCCCCTATCCTCTCCCTCTTGTTTCATTTCTTCCAGATTCATAGACCTCCTCATCGAGCAGTCTTGCCAGATTGGGACATCAGTATGGTTCTTCACTTCCTTACTCTACCTTTGTCCTTTTGTTATTTGTTTCACTTGTCCCTTAAGACCTACTTTCTACTCCTATTAGCCTGGGGCATCATTGGTCTGATATATTTGCCATCAATGTCTCATGCACTCTATACCATTCCACATATGTTCTCCTTTATCCAGATTGATTTCCATCCTAAGACTTCGGCAGCTTGTAAAGGTAATTCTTCCTTTTCACCAATTTCCTTTCCTTCTATCTCACACCTTTATTACCAGTCTGATTAGGATATTCTTCTATGTCCCATAAGTGTTCCTTGTTGTTACATTGCCCACATGGCTTCCTTCCATGGTTCTCATTCTCATTCCCACTTTTTCATTCTCTGGCAACATTCCTCTGTTCGTGACCTTTCTCCTTCAACACTTACCACTTGGGTTCGGCTTTTGATTTGATTGGCTTATTCCTCCTTGTCTCCTTCCTGAAATCTATTCCAGGTGTCATAACATCAGATCGGGCATCTTACCTTTTCCCTAGTGTCTTTCATCCATTGGAGGTAATTCTTCAAAACAGCATCAGATGTTTGTTTCTTCTTCGTCAGGGTATTGTCTTCTACCTGTCACCATCCTTCAAACCTTGATGAGGCTATGACTAGGTAATTTATCTTTTTTATATATATTTTAATTTCTTTCAGGAGCATGTCCCTTTTTATTGTCAGAATCCCACTCTGTGGCATGTGTTGTCTATCCAGGTATACTCAATATATCATCTACAGCCTATCTTCAATGGGATTGAAGTTATGATATCGTGAAGTTCAGATCTAATTCAACCATTTTCTCTCCCTTTTGGGTGAGTTCGTCCATTTTTTTTTCCACCAGTGTCTGTGAGACCTGTTTTCACACTGGGTGAATAGTATACCTGGTACAGAAGTGTGGTCTTCCACATATGATTCTCTATTTAGAGGATCATCAGTATAAAGTATTCTTCGGACACATTCGAAGGGTGCTTCTTTTTCTTCCTCGCACCAGTCCCTCCACCTCTTCATTGTGGGATTCTAGGAATGTATGTGTGAGTTGAGGTAATAAACTGTATTGCAAGTTATAATTTTCCTATGCTGAAAATATATTTCCGATAGGTACCTATCTCCTCCCCATGAAAACCGGTGCTTCCTTTTCTACTTGAACTCAAAATGATAGTTTGATAGAATCAAATAAAGGGAGTCACATGCGTTAAGGAGGGTGTGTCACACTACTATTAGTGGAGGGTTGTCACATGATGATTTGAATGGGAGAATCAATTAAACCATGTGAATCAAGAGGTGCATGGTAGTGAAAGGATTGTAGTATGCAAAAAACATTTTGCATATAGAGGGCAGCACTGAATGAGAATAACTGTATGTTTAAGAGGTGAAAACCTATTAGAAATATATTTTCAATATAGAAAAATTTTATCTTCTGCTGATAATTAATGGTTTGTTATTATTATTATTATTATATTTTCAAGTGTGTTTTAGTTAAAAAAAGATTTAAATGTACCTCTTGCATGTAATAATAAACAGAGCTGTTAATTTAATTGTTCAGTTTTCATTCTTTGTCAAAATACAAAAACGTTGTAAACAAAAATAATTGCTTGAAACTAATTGAGATGTAGAAACATGACACTTGTGAATTTTACCTGATACATTTGTTACTTAACAGATAAAACAGTAAACATAGTGTAAAACCTATGAAAAACATGTCTTATGAAGCTAGAGAAAATAACAAACTTATTATTTTGACACTTTTTATAAAAAATAAATCAAAATTTGTTTCATTTTAAAAACAAAGTAGATAAATTAAACTTTTCACCACATTTCTTTGTGTATTTTAATTTTAGTAACTTTTCAACCTTTTTAATAACAAGTTTGATTTTATGCTATTTCTCCCAGAATTCCATCTTGGACCTCAGCAGACCTCACAGATTTATTGATAAGACTTTTGAAGAAGAATGCTAAAGATAGATTAGAGTTTGGTAAGTTAGCTAAGATGTAATATACTTAGTTTTTTATTTCACAGTTGTTTCTATTGAAATAATTAAAAGGATAATGCATTAAAAAGATTTATTTTGATGTATATATTTGATTTCTTCCATGTTTTTTTCTAAGTTTGTGAAAAAATGTTGTTTCTATTACAAAATAGTTGTCCTGGATTTTTTCTATTAATGTGTTTTTCACTCATAACATAGTAGAACTTTTGAACAGATTTATATATTGTTTTGATAACAAAAAAAACCTCAAATTTGTCTTAATAATTTTTTGTACCAAAAATTGGATTCTGAAAATGCAGCATTTATTTGTAATATACAAATCTCTACATCCCCAGTATTATTTAAAAGCATGTGTATATATGTACTTTTAAATCATTAACTTTTTATTTCTAGTATTTACTCATTACAATATCAGTAAAATCTGGTTTTGTGTTATGTATCCAAACAATGTAAATATTTTGAAGCATTCTAGAGACATAAATGAATATTCATTGTTGTATACTCAATAATTAGAAGTAGCGTAACTAAGGTAGATGTAACAGCATAAGAAAAGGCTTTAAAAGTTATTGAGTATGTAAATTATGTTTCTCATTTGCAGATGATTTCTTTAGTCATCCATTTTTAGAGCCACTCACCAGGACAAGTAAGAACTATGATTTAATATTATTAAAGTACTTGACTAATGATTACAAAGCATTATAACATTTACTCACTAAACTTTCATTGCAACATAATTTAAGTGGTGTTTTTCTCAGTGATTATTTTGTAATAATGTATTTGAGTAATGACTAAAATCACAATAGAATTATAATGTAGTTTGACTTTAGTTTTGTTGTGTAATTATTTAAAATTTTCTGAAACAAATTTGAAACTTGTAGGTTATTATTTTTACCATTATTTTCAACATGTTTAATAATTGTGTTAGCACAATGTAAAGTTCTAAATTATATCTTTTATATATTCCAGGTTCCCCTATGCCTGTTCCCAGTCGACAGTCTGTGCCTCTTGAAGCTTCTCCTTCAAACTCTTCTATTTACAATTCTCCCATATCTGGGAACTTGCCACCTTCTCCTCAAGGGTGGTGTGGTAGCAGAGATGAGCCCTTGATTGAAGCACCAACCACTATAGCTGCTTCACCATTATTGGACAAAAGGTCCTCTGGTGATAAAGAAAGAAATTCCTCTTCTTCTCTTGAAGATCAAGTAAGAAGGTTTAAACCAACAGCTTTGTAAGGCAGAAATTAACAAACCAACGGGGCAATTAAAAAACAGTTATAACCCATGTATTGATAATTTTTATGTAAGTAAGAAGATTACAATTCATATTGTTTTGCAACTTCTTTCTTTTTTTCTTCAGGGTTTTGTGATGGTTACAAATGACCTAGCAGAACAATCAGGTAATTAATCTTTATTGTGTAAAGAATACTTTTAATATGATAAACAGTTACTATATTTTAAATGATTTAATAGTTAAAAGCTCAATTTTTTTAAGGGAGAAGTTATTGGTAAGTGTTTCAATCTACGAATTAGTTCTTAATGTAACTTAGAATGTTTTAATTAAACACAGACTTAGCTATGATAATATCAGTTCTTACAAAGTATTTTTGTGTCACTGTTACTAAGATCATGTTGAAGCTTAAAAGTTTCATATTATATAGTTTTTTAAAAATAAACTTTTACCTTGTTTTATGAAAGCCATTTTAGACTATGAATACTGCCACAGTATAATTGTAACATTTTTCTTCACCATTGTATCATAAGGGAAGAAAAAATCTTAAGTCCTTGGTAAAGATGTTGTTATTGTCTGTTCCCATACATAAGATTAGTTTTCTGAATTACCAGTGTTCATCAATAATCACGTTCAAGTGCTTTTAATGTCTCTTTCATGCTGACGGACATTCTAATATAATAACAAATTATAAGAAAAGATATAAATATCCATTAAAAAGTATCATTGGTTTTGTAAAAATTCTGAGAATCTGTGTTTCTTTTTTTTTCCCATTCAGTGTGTAATAATACATGTATAATAAACTTAGATTACTAGAACTTGTTAATACTGAAAGTTTTTTTTTGAAGCCTAGAAAACTTTCTATCTCTTGTAGGAAGTCAGGAAGTTGGCAGCTTGCAGAAGATGCTTCGTGCCAAACATGGCAGGTAATTTGTTAGAAGCTTGTAGGTCATTATTTGTTTTGTGTAAGATAACTATGGTCCTAGTTATACACAGTTTCTAGGTTTTAGAGTAATGTTCTTTCCAGATAGTACAGTTTGGTAAGATTATATGTTTTTAGGTTCTTTGTTAAAGCTTTTTTTACTTTTGATGTCACAATAAATTGTAAACCCTAAGTAAAACAAAAAATTTAGTTTTGCTATGGTTTATAAGTTCAGATCTTGAAAGTTTAAGGGAATATTTTCATTGAAATGTAACTGAATTGCAATAAGAAAGTCAGTTAGGATGAACGTTTTGGATAATGTTTCACTTTAGTGTAGACAAAATTCATCAAATCAAAAGCACATGTAAATAAAACAGAGTTAGAAAGATACATTTTATTGCATCTTTCTTCAAAGAAATAGACATTACTATATATGGTTTATTCATGTTATTTAACTACTGATTGTGATTTCAGTTGTATATGCTTCACCTTCCTTTCCAGATGCATTGTTTATGCCAACTCATCTCCAAAGGCTCTTTGCAATGTGCCTGATAATCATTACTCCAGTGGTACTACATTTAATACACATAGGGTGTCAGAAATTAACTTACCTCAACCTTCATCCCTTCCAATGAGTGGTTCTCCAGCAAAACAGATTTTGGAAGTAGGAACCTACCAGCAATCAGAGCCAATACCTGTCCCCTCTCAGAAAACAATCTATGAACAAATTCAAAGAAGTCTGGAACGTGATCTTTTCAACTCTTCTATGTCACAAGGGGAAAGAGCATTATCTACTCCTTCAACAGCCCACATGTATCATGGATCTTCACCAAATACAACTAAGGTTTCTACTTAAATGTCTTCCTTTTGCTGTTGGGATGCTTTGAGTAGTTTTAGTAATATTACCGAATTATCTTACTTGATAAATATATTTAGAATTAATAAAACTTTTTTGTATTTATACTCAGATATACTAGAAATCAATGGAGTATAGATTGATAAATACAGGTCTTCAAACACTTTACATCCTGAAAAATTATTAATCTTAATTTTGAATTCCAATATGGTCTTACTTCCTTTCACACAAAGCTATATATCCATCAATTTCGTGCCATTTCTAAGCATGTCCATAGCATGTGTCTACTCTCCATCACTAGTACTGTGCCACCTATATTGGCATAGCTAGCTCCCTTTATTATTCCTGCTCAATCTTCACTTTCTCGATTGGAACAGCATTGTTTAGACGTGTTTTCTTGCATGTGGCTATCGTTTATGAATGTGCTTCTTTGCCATTTCAAATTTTTTTCAACAGTGTTATTTTAATGCATTTGCATTCACTTGTTTCAACAATTTTTTTGCATTTATTTTTTGTTACCGAATTATAACAGATCTCAGTAGGAATTTGCAATCCATGTATCAACTATGGAAATTCCTGTTACAGTCGAAAATTCTACTGGTATGACTTCCCAGGAATTGGGTTCGACTTTATTTGCAGATGAGGTACAGGCCTTAATTTGCATGTTCAGCAAGCAATTTCTTCTTCTTTTCAACATGACAATGTTTCTGAGGATAAGTAAAATCAATGAGAAGTCTTTTCACTTTTTTTTTTCCAGCACCTCCTTATTTTGGTCTGTCAGACTTGAAACCTCTTTAAGATTTTTACCTTCCACCAGTGCAGTGCTGCCATGTCATTCACTTTGGTGGAGATTTGTTTTTCTTCTCCTTTCTTCCTATTGCTTCCGGTTCTCCCAGGAGATCTGTGGTAAGTTTTTCAACATATACACTTCACACCTGGTTGATATACCTGTTGTAGGCATGGCTCAGATGCCATTTGTGTGGCATTGTCCTTATTTACACATTGGAGAATCAAGTATTTCACATCATCACTGCTCGGACTTAAGTAAGTTAGATACTTATGTGTCCTTTGTCATCTAAGTTACATTAGATGAAATGTAAGTTAGATATTAATTATTACTTTGTTTTTTTTAGATAAATTTAACCATTTTGCTCATTCATTAACCTTATGTAATTTCTAGACTCAGCAAGTTTCGTAGGTGTATTAGTTCATTATTAATAAGTACTTTAACTGGGTACATTTAGATTTTTTGTAAGTTACATATCATTTCTACTAGTGATATATAATTCATTGTTCTGTTTGAGTAATTTTCTTTTTCATAATTGTTAACTATGTGCCTTATCATCCTAATTTTCATCAGTGTAGGAATTAAAATGTTTTTTGCTTTGTTACATCACTGGTGTGTTCATTTCTTTCCCATTCATAGGGCTGAGCTTGGCTTTGGCTCCTCTTCCTATGTTCATGATACTAGAAGCCCTGTTTTCTCCCAATAGAAGTTCTTCCCCATAGTGCCTACTTTGTCAATAGTTATATATAGATCTAAGTCAAGTTTTCCAGTTCAGGGCCTTACCATTTGGACTAATCACGGCTTTTTAAATGTTTTGTTGGAAGGTACAAACCTTGCCCATCATCTTTATCTATGTGTCTTTGCACTTTTCTTTCTATGGATGACTGTCTTCTGCTTGCTTCTTCCCATTCCCAGTCCAAAGATCATACTCCTCTGCTCCTACATAAAGCAGCATGGGTGGGTTTCCAGAGGACAGTGGGGAAGTCTGTTCTTACCCCCTCTTAATATCTCATTCATTTAAGAGTTCTTCTTTCTAACCTCAGTTGGGTCCAGCCTTCTCCTCTTTGTCTTTGGAGCAAGCAGTTCACACAACCATAACGTCACATTTCTTTCAGCTTGAGATGTTCTATCTCTTTAGGGATGTGAGCTTCCTTGGAAACTCTCATTCCCATGGATCAGGCTCATATGCATTCTCTTTGGTGGACACTCCTAGATCAGTGGAACTTCTCAGATCCCTGGCTTGGTGGTTAAACAGAGACTAAACCATGGCAAGGGTGCTACTTACTCCAGCTCATCCAGATTTACATCTGTTCCACAGACTCATCTTTAAAGGGTTAGGGGTTCTTACCTTGACTCCTGGGAGATTTCTGTTTTCTTGTCCTTGAAGGAGTCTTCTCTCCATATTACCATTCTCCAACAGGAGAGGGAGGGGGTATGGTACATCTCAACATCTCCACAGTAGTCATTTATATCACAGAGCCAGGGCATGCTAATTCCAGGTCTTTATGCTTTTAGATCCTGGATCTCCTTTCTTGGCCCACAATCACCACATTGTGGTCTCATCTTACCATTTTTCTGGCTCCTTGACTCTGGTAGTGGATCGATTATCTCCTCCCAACAAGGTGAGTGTGTTCTCAGCTAGGGCCACTGCATGTATACCTTCACCACCCACTGGAACATCAAATTTCCTTACCTTTGGTCTCCTTTTCCTCACCCACTAACTCTAGGAGTGATCATGTTCTGTCAAGATTGGAGGAGTCTTCACACATATATGTTTACCCTCCTATTCAACTCCTCTCCAGAGTTTTTTCCTTATTCCAAATCACTTCATGTCTTGTCCTACTGGTGGCTCCATCTTGGCAGGTGCAACCATTGTTCCCATTACATTGACCTTTACTTGTACAACCTCCCTTACCCTTACCTCTGTCTCGGTCAGTCATTGTTCATGGCTTTTGTCAGGTCCATTGCCTCAGCCCAGGGGCTGATTCCATGTGTTGCATCTATCCTTTCCCAATCCATTAGACCTTCATTCATGTGCATGTACCACAGGCAATGGTATACCTTCTGCTTTTGATGTCTTTGACGTGATTTCTGTACTTCCAACCCTTACATCCTCATCTTTCCCTATTCTTCACCTGGTTGTTTGACAAAGGCTGGTCAACTTTGACCATGTCTAGCTATCAGGTGGCCTTGTCGAACACCTTCTGTTTCTCCAGGTTTTGTCTTCCCCTGCCATTTCTCTCCTTTTTCTGCTCCTTTTGAGCCATTCATCCTCCACATACCTTTGATTTGCCTGATTGGGATCTCAGTGTGGTCCTTTAAGCTTTTCCTGCCCAACCTTTGAACCTTTGTCTTCATGTTCCCTCTATTATCTCTCTTTCAAGACCTATTTCCTTTTCCTCCTAGCATGTTCACATCATCAATCAGATATTTCTGCCTTTAATGTTACTTGCTTCCTCTACCATTCCTGTTATGTTATACTGTATCCTGACCGGTCTTTCCTCCCACAGACCTATGCTACCTGTGAAGGCTGTTTGGCTTTCACATCTCCCACCGGTACTCCCATTCTGGTACCGGTCAATTTCTTTGTCTGATTCGCTCCTTACAGTGTTATGTAGCATGTCCTGCCTCATTTCAAGGTTCAAGTTCCCGACTTTTATTCCCTGGAACACTTCAGTTTCCTATGATCTATTCCATGTCACATAAAGTGGTTGGATTCATCAACTCATTAGGCTGGCATATTCAGACTTATCCATGAAAGGTTGCTGTCTCCACAACATTTCTTCTCATCATATCATAATACCTTTGACTTCTCACCTTCACCATTCATTGGAGGAGATCGTCCAGACTGGAATTTGGACTATTCCCAATACTTTTTTTGCTTATTATCTGCATGATCTGGCTGTATCTTCCTCTTGTGAATATCGTCTCGCTCCTGTGGTGATTCTACATATGACCATTTGCATTTGATTGGGGTAAATCTTATCACTTCCTTTCATTTATGTTTTTATTTTGTGCAACCCTAGTTTTAACCACTGATAATGGGACCCTACTCTGTGGCAGGTGTTGCATTGTCAGGTATGCTTTACCTTGCACCTGCATTATTTACTGATTGACCTATAACACTCACTGTAGAGGTGGGTGTTTCTGCAAGACCACTGGTGGCATACCCAGTGGTATATATATATATATATATATATACCTGTTTCTAAATATTTGTATGTTACACTCAATGATGTACCATCTCCTCACTCATGGACTTCATGAGTAAATCAGAAGGGGATTTCTGCCCATCCCTGCCAATCCTTTAATTGAATAAATTGGGGTCGGTCTGCTTTTCAAAATAGTAAATCATGAACACCCATTGCAGTTTCTCCAGTGTGATGTTCCTCCAGACTTCCCACTGCATTTACTTCTCCCTTTTTTCTTCCAGTAGAGCACAGGAGTCCTTACCAATTTCCAGTTACTGGGGTGGTGGACCATGGAGGCTTCCTCCTGAATGAGTTTAGGAATTTATTATCTATACTCATGATTATCTACTCAATGAGAAGAAGGCAAAGCTGGTTCCCCTTCTTCCATTTTCTCTGGATGCTCTTTCTCAAGTGGACATCTGTCAAAAGATTGAAGCAGGTCCAACCTATGCAGATCCTCCTAATAATACCGGGTTTGGGATGACACCACCCTGTTCCTGCAATTGTGTGCAGTAGACGCCCCTCTTCTCATTAATTCTGGTTGCAGGAGGTTCTTTCCCTGCTCATACGGTTGAGTTTGGGGGACTTCTTCTACCTCATAATGCCAGCTACAGCATGTACTTACACTTTTCTATGTTCATGTCCTCCTCATAATTCCAGATGCAGGATGTCTCTTCCCTGCATTTACAGTTGAGTGATTTATGATTTCTGCGTGTAATACCAGTTACTAATATTGCCTTGTTCTTATGGTTGAGTTGAGGCAATGCCAGAACCCTGTAATCCCGGGTTCGGTTTGTTGTACTTCATGCCTCTACGGAGTTTGTCCATTTTTGGCCAAAATCTAACTTCTTTTTGTAATTCCAGTTGCTTGACGTATGACCCTCTGTTTACTTATGGTTGGGGTTGATGAGTATATATAACACAGTCCACATGCCCTAGTCACTATGTTTATGTTGCCATATATTGCAATATGTTATAATATTTTTTTTTTATCCTCAACCTCCTAATACTGAGAATGAGTTATATAACCTACACCTACACCGGCCCCTCCACCTTTGCAATATGTGAGGAGGTAAGACTATATTGCAAGTTAGCATTTTTCTTACACTGAAAATGCATTTCCGATATTTACTTACCTCTTCTCATACCCTTCCTCCCCACTGCCAGTGTTCTTCTTTTGGGGCCTGCCAATTCTTGAAAGTGAAGATTGAGTGGGAATAGCAGAGGGAGCTAGAGCTGCACCAATATACATTACTATTGGTGGAGAGTGGTCACATGATATGTACATGTTCAGAAATGGTGCGAAATTGATGGGGTATACAGATTGGTTTGCTGATTGTGAAAATTTTTGTGCAATGCTTAGAGGGCAGAAGATAGTTTGGTGTGAGGTGGGGTAAGTACCTATTGGAAATACATTTTCAGGACAAAAAAAATTTTAACATCTGTTAACAGCATTTATTTAGATGGCTTCATCTGATGGCAACCATGACAACTAAATCACAAGATTTACAAAATACAAGCAGAATTTACAAAAATGAAGAAAAATAGATCTTCTAAACTAAATCATTTTAGTCTCCTTTTTTTTCTAATACTGTGGACTGAAACTAAGTTGAATGATTCTTCAACAGATATAAGAAGTTAATTTATGGAAAAATTTGCATTTATATATTGTTTTTATATTTACTTATCCTGTTTACTTAACACAGATTTACGTTTTATGATACCTATTAGCTGAAAACAAAAAAGGTATTTAAAGCTGTATAGATTTATTTGTAAAAATTTCTATATGCAATTTCCTTATATTGTATTTCATGCCATGTTAATATTAACTAAGCATTTATATTGGTTTTTCTGTTTTGTAAGGCTGTCTCAGAACCCATTACATTAAGGAAGGTCTCCATGAGTTCTCAGTCAAGTGAACAAAGTCAAATACTTATTGACATCTGTTCTCTCTCCCCACCTACAGGTAAATAATTTAACTCATAATTTATTTAATCAATATATTTATCTAAAAACTTTGATTAATTGCTAATTTCATAATAGTGTAATGTAATTTAATTTTTTGTTATGTTTTTTTATGTATTCTCATTGCAGTACAGTTTACCATTGGTACACCACCAGGGGGCACTAGAAGATGTAGCTACAGTGGAGGCGTTTCTCCTACATTTTCTGGTAGGCAGACACCCACCATTCACCATCAGAGTTACAGCCCCCCACCACCAACATTATCCACTTCTCCTCTTCGACGATCAAGTACGTTGAAATATTTATACACGTATCATATGTTTTTTAATATCAGTTTCTCTGACAAAAGGTTTGTTAAAATGTTTTAAGCTTTTCTTTTTTTTTGTATTTTCTATATAGCTTATGCTAACAGAACTGCTTTATTAGTATGAAGTCATCTAAGCATCATAAGAAGATATTTGAGTTCTATTCCTACCAGATCACTAGATACACTATTATCATTATATTAATTAGGAGGATGCTTTAAAACATTATGGGATATATTGATTATTTTGTTGTTTTTGACCATACAGACATTTTCTTGGCAGGAAACCTGCTAACCCTTGCAACAGGAAACCCCCTCTCTCCAATCCTTGATTCCCCTAGCAAAGAATTCTCCAGAACAGAGCAACCTCTCATGGAAATGGGGTGGCAGCAGGAATCTCCAAAGATGGCAACCAATGAAACAAAAATGCACAGATGCAGAAGTTTTCCATCCACTCGAAGAATTGGTTTTAGTATGAGAGCCATAACACTTCCTGAAATCTGTTCCCAGCAGTTTTGGCCTGGTTTGTGAAATTTTAAGATAATAAAACATTCACCTCCACTTTTGCTAATATTCTTTCTTTTAATACTTGAAACTGTAATTGTTGTAGGGGAATCAATCCATTAACATTAAGCTGCAATCTGAATATTTGTAGTTTTTGGTAAATATATAAGGTTATCAAATCATATCATACTTTTAATGAAAAAGAAAAAAGAGGTTCTTCCTGGATTTTTAATGAACTCTGTAATTGTGTTGTTTTTTCTCTCTGCATATGAAACTCAAGTACTTTACAAAAAACCTTAAATGTAATTTACATTAACCACAGGGAGTGGTTATGAAACTGCAGAGCCAGTGGACAACAAGAAATGTAATGTACACAGGTCGGAAAGCTCAGGCAGACTTGGAGAGAGAATGATTTATAAACCTCTATCTGTACCAGGATCACAGCATAGTAAGTTGACTTAATTATCCACATAAAATGGGAAACTTGAGTAAGTGCACATACCTACTGACAGTTATATTTTGACATAGAACTTCTATTCGTTCAGCAAAAAAGTTAAAATTATTTATCTAAGATAAAATTAACTGTAATCACAAATCAAGTTTTCTGAGCTTAAGTTTTAAGACAGAGAAAAGTATAGAAATTAACAAAATATCAATTTATATAAATAAATTTAAGAGAATGGGCAAGAAGTTCAATTCTAATAAGTGACTTGTATATATATGTGTATGTATGAATAGATTTGTGTAAGAACAATATTTAATTATAAAAAAGAAAAAAGGTATGCCAGAAATGTTACAAACCACTTTATTAAAAGAAAGAGAAGAGAGTGGCAGCAAAAGTTATATTCTAAAAAAAAGTATGTATGAAATATTATATATTAATACTATCTCTGTTTATATATATTTTACTTGTACATATGGCTTTTTAGTGTCTCGCAGTCCTCCAGGAACTGTAATGATGCCTTATGGTCATCCCACCACCCGCTGCTTTATCAATGAAATGGTACCTCATTGTGGATCCTTGGGCCATTTGCGTCGCAGCTCAACAGGTTGCTGTTTGTTTTCTGATTCATTCCCTACAAATCCCACCTGTTTTACATATGGTGGTACATCATCCCCAATCATGGAAGGGCCTCATATGTTTGTAGCTCCAGAATTGCCAGAGGAAACAATTTTAGAGGTAGCTGTTTATAGTCTTATTCAAGCATACATAGTGAATTAACCATACATTATCTGTGATTTGTAGGACTTGCATTTTTGGTCTTTCTCCTTAAAAATGTTATTATACAGACTTATAAGTAATATCTTTTGGTATTACTGAAGATTTATCAGTTCTTCAGTTTTGATAACTTACGTAATAAGACTTAGTTTTGGTATTGTGTGTAACTACCCAAAGCTCTACAGTATTTTTAGTTCTGCCATGTCACTTATTAAATTACCGGATCAATTTGGTTTCTCTCTGTCAATTGTACAAAGTTCCACATTCATTTCACTTTTACTTGTCACTTACTAAAATATCAGATATTTTTAGTTTTGTCTATCACTAAACTGAAGTATCATAGTATTTTCAAATCTGCCTGTCACCCACTAATTTACCAAATTTATTTTAATTTTGTCTAAGGCTTACCTGAAGTATCATAGTAGCTTCAAATCTACCTGTGACCCACCAAATTACCAAATTGGTTTTAATTTCATCTATCACTTATTTGAAGTATCACAGTAATTTCAAACCTTCCTGTTGCCCACTAAATTATCAGATTGATTTTAATTTTGTCTCTCAAGTACATAATATTCTATCGCTGGTTCAGTTTTCTCAAGTCACCTATATCAAATATGCAAACTAGTTTTAATTTATCTGTCACCTTCACATAGTTTCACAGTTACCTGATATCTTTTAATGTCATATTTTTCCTTTAATTTGTGTATTGTTAGCTATAATAATTTACATGTAAAAAAAGTAATTGCATAATGGTAACATCTAAATAAGACAAATACATTTTTCTTCTCTTTTTTTTTTTCATAGTATTGACTTATGTTTAAGAAATTCAATTTGTTAAAAGTAACACTACAAAATGCTTTATAAATTTGAGACACTGTTCATCTGTTAAATTACATTATGGTAAGATAGTTTTTTTTATTTACATACCAATTAGCTATCAGAGTAAAAACAGCCTGAAAAACCAGTTTAATTATTATAAAAAATAAAAGTGTATAAAATCTATTTTATTGTCTTTCAAAATTTGTAGTATGTACTGGAGGGATTTGCACATTTTTATAATAAAATTAGAAAAAACACGACCTTTACACTCCAGATAAGAGGACTTTAATTTTAATTTATGTAACCCTAAAACTCCAAGACAGACAAATACAGAGTTCTATGCATAACAAAGAATGTAAGAAGCTGATAGTTCTCCATTACAAACCACACCACCCAGACCAAGTCAAAAGGGGAACAGTAACAGGAGAACTGAAGAGAATAAATCAAACTGCTCCATGCTGAGTGCCATTCAAACAGCACAATAAGACTTTAAAACACTGCTATTATGATATGGATACCCTGAATGTTACACCAACAATGTTTTCAAATCACAAAAAAACAAAACAACATTACAACAGCAACAGACCCAAAAACAAAAAAGACAGACACAGAAACACCCACAATGAACATTTCTTTCATAAACAACACAATCACAACAAAGAATCATAAAGCCATTAAACAATCTCAACTGATAATCAACATAATACAAAAACCAGGTAAAACACTGAAAGAACTGTTTAGTTTACTTTTCATACTCACAATCAAAATGTGCTAAAAACAATGCTACACCAGAGAAAACAGAGTAAGAGAAATTTACCACACCAAAAACGTAGTCTATCAAATCATATATAATACATGTGGTGACGCATATCTACAGGAGAAACTGAAAGACCTTTTCACACATTCATCTTAGAACACATCAGTGCATTATATACATATGACCAACACAAAACCATGCCAGCAGAATACTTTCTAACAAACACGGAACCCCAAACTCAGAAAATCAAAACCTATTTAAAGTTTCTATCTAACAAAAGAACAAAGATTTTAAAAGAGAGAAAATATATAAAAGCGTTACACATTAACAAAAAAAATCCAAAAGTGAACAGAGCAATAGAGAGTACATGTAACTAAAAAAAATATCATTCAAAAAATATGCACATCTACCAATACACTTAACGTTATTACTTTTAGTTGAATACTTGTGTACTCTGATGTATTGCACAGTCTTACAATTCATTTGTAACACTGCCAGTAAACTTTGTATCCTTTCAACTTTAAATTTTTGTCTCTTACTTCTATTTATTATTCTATTACTTCTATTTTCTATTTGTTTTGTAGCTAATCATAAAACATTTTGTGATTCTCTTTGTGTTTATGTTTCACATAAGTAATATATGCCATATGTTAGTATAACT